TATTATTAATTTAAAATCAAAATGTAATTTTTAGAGAAAAAAGGTTTTTACAATCAAAGATTGTTAAAAAAAAAAAAAAACTATGCATTAAACACGTAAAATAATAATTGTCATGAAGAGAGATCATTCTAAAAATTATGTAAAATCTGGCAAACATTCCTATAATAAAAAGGTCACTTTGAAACCAAAATTGCTGACTCGACAAAAATCAATTCGAATTTAATAGCACATTTCATATTTATAAAAAATAAAAGTTATAAACAAAAAAAATGTTTCTTATCTTACCTAGAATATCAATAATTTCGATGTTAAAAATAAAGACACGACATTTATAAACAATATAATTAGAGCTTTCAAATAAAACTGATCAAGAAAAAATGTCTAAAAATTGCTGAAAAAAAAATCCTTAATTAAAAAAGATACACACTAGGCAAAATTTATAAATACACCACCTCATCACTAGAAAAAAATTTAGGACAATGTTTTCTAACTAATATAAATATAAAAAAAGTTATACTAATAAGAAAAATTAATAATTTTTGACTCTTTTTAATTTTCGATTAATTCTTAACAATGAAGTAGATTTCAGTAATCTTTAGATTGTAAACAAGACAGCATATTACAATAAACTCTTAAGGTACGTCGTTACAAATTGAGTTAAATCCTTTGGGTCTTAGCCCAATACACTAAAAGAATGTTGTCAAAATGTAACTTTATTTGCAATAAAAAAAGGAAATGTGTCAACGTACTTGCATTTTCAGTTTAAATTGATAGCTTTCATGTTTCATACAAGCCAACCCAAACATACTTGTGTTTTATTTATAGCATTAGCATTCTAGCACCACGTTTATTGTAATAAAATTATAAATGATTTACTCGAAAATTAAAAAAAATTTGTTAACAAAACGTACCTTTTTGTTCAGACGCATAATCTAAAATCTATTATTTTGAAATAACCAAATATATTATAATAGTTATAAGATTTTTTAGCTTCGATTCGAAAATGAGAAGGTATTGGTTTTACTATGATGTGATTTTTTTTGTGTCTGTTACCACTTTTTCTCAGCTCTCACTGAACCGATTTCTTTCAATGATACGTCAAAAGATCACAAATCGTATCTAGTCGAAGACATTACCCTCAAAAAGTGAAAAACATTTCCCTCATTCTCCGTAAATAGGGGAAACCTCCAAAAAAATTACAAATTTAAAAATCGCTAATTTTAGACATTTTTTCAATTTTTTTTACTTAAAACTTCCATAACTTTTTTAAAAATGGCCAAATCAATATAAATTTTTTTTCAATAGGTGATGTTTTTACCTATCATTTGGTATATTTCTTTTATAAATCTGACCCTTTATCTGTCCACGGGGGGGATATGACAACTTTTTCACAAAAAATTTACTTTTACACTTTACTTTTGAAAGTGTTCCGGAAAATCTGACACTTTAATATTTATCTTAAATTAAAGCTAATGTAATGTACTTTATTATGAAAAAAAAAAATTAGACTTTATTTTGTTTTCACGGTGAAAATAATTACCTAATGCTAATCCACCAATTTTTTAAAATTAAACACTATTTAAAGATTTGCATCGAAGCGTTTTTTATGATAGTGATTTTAATCACTGTCAGATATCATTATACTTGATCCATCTATGCCTCGTCACCACTGTGCCGCGACTCCACGTGCTGAGTTTTTTTTATATTTTCATATAAATTTTATTACTATTACAAAAAGAGATAATACTACACGGTTTTCCAATTTCACCTTTTTAAAGTCTGCCGACCTGTATCTACTTTATTGCTATAAGAGTTATTATAATTTGCTTAACACTTTTTAAGACTAACATTTTTCATCATTTTAGAAAGATTTTAAAATAGCTATAAACCTTTTATAGCCTGGACATTTTGACATCAGCGTACATCATACAGCTCTGAGTCTACATGGCAATGTAATCCCTCGAGTTTTAAACTTGCACTCGACTGATTGTTAATGAAGCTCACTTTTTAAATCCATAACATAAAAGTCTTCACTTTACCGTTTAGATAATGACAAAAATATTTTATTTTTCTTAGAGATTCATCAAATTTTTCAATTATATTCAAATATTTATTTTTTATAAAATAATCTTAACGTTTCAAAAATTCATTATTTGATGATCATTTGTAAACGACATTTTTACTTGAAATTTAAGTTATTTTTTCATTAATTTAAAATATGTTTTTTGAAATTCAAATAAAGCCTGTCCAATACTCAGAATATTGGTGTAATTTTCAATGTGATGAGAAAACAATGTACTTATGATAGTGAATCTGTCTAATATGTATAATTGAAGAGATGTACGAGGAAATCATCACTATGATGATTGAATACATTACATTTTACTGTCGCAACTCTTAATTTTACAACTGGGATTAATATTTTATACTTTTTCTTCCTGTATAATGGTGAAAAAAATGTGAATAAAAAAATAACAAAAATTCATATTTTTGAAACCCTTTGTTTTGAATGATCGTCAAATAATGAAACTTAAAAGTATTGTAAAAAAATCATTATTTTTTATTATTATTTTTACAAATGTTATAGGTCAATAATGTAGCATTTTTATACACGATGAAGTGAACTGATAAAGAAGTTCATCTATTTGCACTACTAATTTGTCACTTGCAAATAATATTTATCTTTTTAACTTAATTAATTTTTATGCCAGAATCAATTAGAAATCATTCCTCAGTAAAGTAATTGTATTTCACCTTTATTCTATGTCAATTAAATTATATAATATTCATGAAAGTCAATATATTCTCCTAATAAGATATTTTAAAATAAAACACAAAACCTAGAATTTTAATAGAAAAATAGCATATTTTTGAATACGGTAGACATTTGCGCATAGAAGATAAATTGTCGGGACAAATTGTTTTTTTAAATTTTATAGTACATGACATAAACTTTAATTTGATATATGTTTAAAGGACGCAGTATTTCCGGAACATTTTCAAAAATTAAGTTGAAAAAGTTAGTTTTTGTAAAAATAGTTGCTATTTTAAATCCCCCCCATAAGCAGGTTAAGTGTTAGATTTTCAAAAAAATGATATCAAATGAAAGGGAAATATCTAAGGTTTTAGTATAAAAAAAAAATATGTTGATTTGTTAAATTTTGAAAAAGTTATGGAAGTTTTAAGAAACAAAAGTGAAAAAAATGACAAAATTTACCGATTTTTAAATTTGTAATTTTTTTTTGAGGTTTCCCCATTTGCGGGGAACTAGGGAAACTGTTTCAATTTTTAAGGGTAATGTCTTCAACTAGATACGATTTGTGATCTTTTGACGTATTATTGAAAGAAATCAGTCCAGTGAGAGCTGAGAAAAAGTGGCAACAGACATAAAAAAAAAAAAAAA